CAAGACAGTTTTTTTTTTTTTTTTTTTTTTTTTTACACAAAGCACATTCTACGCATATAACAAGTACACACTTTCCTATGTGTGTGTCGTGCACCTTTGATGTCCACCCCGAGTTCCTACCACTTGGTTTAGGAATAGCCCCATCGGATTAGCACATAAATAAGCGCTTTGCATATTGCTCGCATAAATGCGTTTGGGTGTATATCTGTCCATGTGCATAGTTGCCTAGATGCATGTCAGTTTGTGAATTACACAAAAGGAAAAACGCTTTAGTTTGACGCCGCTCATTATTCTACTTACCTTCCACGTTGTTTCATGTTTGAGCAAATTTGTTTCTTTACAACATTTGCCCATTTTAACGACTCGCCCTTTAAGCTTTATTTTTAATTGAACATTTGTGCAGAAAAAAAAAAAAGAAACTGACATCCCCTCGTTTTTGTCACTCCTACGTATTTATCACATCACACATTAGTATATTATAATATTTATTTTTTTGAATCATATAATTTTTGCTTTAACTGTCTGTCCCCTTTCCCCCGTTTTTTGTCATACTTTTATGTTTTTTATTTTTTTTGTCCGACTGCTGCCGACTCTACAGCGTGAGAGAGCCCGCTTGGAACGCGAGGAAGTCTTTGTGTCTGCATTTTGCTTGGCCCATTTTTTTATCGCCTTGAATTTGTCCTCTCACTGTTTCCCCTCTGTTGACCCGCGCGATAAAACCCTGAGCAGGGCCACCCATCAAAGCACGCAGTTGAAGAACCGTCACGCTGCTTTCCCTTTTCTCCGCTTCCCCAACCATGGTGTACGCCACGCTGCTGAGCGAGGAGGATCTGAGTCGCTTCAGGACGAAGCAGTGCAAACGGCTGCTGAACGGAGGATGCAACTTTGGCATAGACAGATGCCAGTACAGCCACAACGAATTTTGGAACAGGCGGTGCCCATTCTACTTGAGCGATTCGTCTTTCATTCGCTACATAACAATCATGTGTCCAGATGTGGAGACCAAGGCTGATGGTTCCATCAACAGTCTTTGTCTTCGAGGAGGAGAATGCCCTTTTGCTCACTCAGCAGAAGAAATTCTGTACCACCCGTTGTATTATAAAACGAAACGATGTGAAGATTATAAAAAAGGATCCTGCAACACGTACTACTGTCCCTTTATTCATGGATTAGCAGAGACGAGAATTCCAGGGACATATAAATTGCCATTCACAAATGGAATAAGCATTCCCAACATCCCCAACGTAATCATCGTGGATAAAATTGACATCACAAATAAGGCAAATGGAAATGGAAACGCAAATGGAAGTGTAAATGGTGGCGACAGATATATGAAGAACGCCCTCTCGGCTAAGAAGCGCAATGATCTGAAGCTAGTGGACCACCTGAAAATTTTAGACAATGCACAATTTTCTAAAATGAATAATTGCATGATGGCTACTCCATACTCCACCATTGATTCCATCCCTCATAACAACACAGATGTATACAAAAGCAACTCTGGAAAAAAACTGACTCTCTCCTTTAGCCACACTTTAATGAATAATTCATCAGAGGAAGATTTAAAGAAGAATCGCATAACATTTAGTGAGGAAAATACCATGGACCATTTTTTTCCTACCTGCTCTAAAGGAGAATTGAGTCACCCAATTAGTTCCTTTGCCAATTTTAACAAGCACGTCATGATGGGGGTTCAGAATCATGGGGCAAGTACAGAGATGGGAAAATCCTCCACAAATGGCTTATCCTTTACTCAATATAGCGAATTCGTGGCGGGTGGTGGTACCTTGGCCAAAAATGAGAATCGGCCATTGGGCAAGTTTAGCATGTCGACACAAAACACGGATGCACAGCACCCCAGCAACAATTGGAACAAACATTTTAACATGCTCAAGATGAAGCAGAATTACTCTAGCTGTAGTACTGCTGTTCACGAAATTAACTTCAACGAACATGACATGACAAGCGACGAAGTGGTAGAGGACGATGAGGAGGATCTAGACAATTATCTCATGAACACGCTGCTACCGCATGGAGGTGAGGATTCCGTGGGGGTGCGCAGTGGGAACGGAGACGAGATTGGTGATGGCAAGGCGCACTACAACTACCACTGCAACTGTAGCAGTTCGAGCAAGGAACGGAATGACGACGGAAGCGTCCATCATAAGCCGGGCTGTATCGCACACCACGCAGACGAAGAACAAAACACCAGCGAAGTCAACCTGTTAGAAATTATCAGATGTCTGAAAAATTTATACGAGCGTATCATGAAAGGCAATTTAGTCTTCTCCCCAGAGCAGTGGGATAACATTGCTAAAATCACCTACGAAATTGTCCGTGTGGTTGAATTCAACAGAGTTTTAAAATTGAAGAGAACCACTGATAAGATGAAGAACGACATATGTAACATGAACAAGCAATTCTCTTTTGATTGGTCTAAGATGATGGACATGGGGAAGGAAGGGGTGAAGGGCTCCGCTGCGACATTAGAAATGAATGCGCTTGTGGACGAACCGTATGGAAAGGATGAAACTAGTGCAAATGAACAGGTGGAGAAGAAAGACGAAGAAATTTCACCAACGATGAAGGAGGAAAACATTAACGATACGATTCAAATTGGCAATTCAAATGAGGCAGTATTGGACAAAATGAAAGTCCACTTAGAGAGCAAAAGGGAAGACCTACCCGATGCAAACAGCGCGGACGCTGCGGAGGACAACTACATGATGATGTATTTGTATCAGGGCCAGCAGCCAGAGAATTACCCAATTGGTAAGAACGACATGGATCTGTTTAATGTGAAGAGGAAAATTTTAGCTCACCAGTTAAGTGGGATAGCCAACAGGAGCAATAACGAAATGGATAGCTCGAACGGTGAAGTGGATAACAACAATAACGACGGAGAAAATGCCAAAGACGATCCTCACTTTTTGGACTATTACAACCTAAACAAAGGTAATTTGAACTTTGCAGAAGCGAAAGAAAACCCAGATAAAATTTTGTCGCAGCAGCCATTCATGTCTTTCTTTTCGTTTCTTTCCGAATGATACGATGGGGATGCCTTTCCGCTTATTTTGAAGGAAAAAGCGGGAGAAAATATGTGTTAAGCAAGCTAAAGACGGGGAAAAAACAACAAATATAATGCTGTGCTCATTTTCCGTTGCGCTTTTTTTTTTTTTTTTTTTTTTTTTTTTTTTTTTTTTTTTTTTTTTTT